TCATCGTCCCTTGCATGTTGAAATACATGCGGGGCGATGGACGTTGAAAAAGAGCGTCCGTTAGCGTGGCCTGTGGAGGCGGCCGAAATATACCTCTTTTTACATGCTGTCGAAGCTCACAATTATTTATTTTAAATTGCAACTTTTACGTTAACTATTAAAACAAAGGCTTTTTTATATATATATGTATTTCTTACATTTTCAACAAACATGCAAAGATAAGGGGCAAATATGTAAACTTATTTATATCTTGTTTTTTTCCCGGAGAACAATTCGGCCGCACGTTCCACCACGTTCGGCATTTCCTCTGCGCTCTGAAAATGGCATATTCATATTCAACCACCGTAACAAGCTTAGTAGTCATTAGCTGTATCAAAATTTAAAGGGAGGAGGATTATATAATTTGGACAATTGCCAAAATAATAATAATAATAAATAAAAATTTCAAATTTCATATGATTACATATGTCGTAGAACCATCCCAAATCAAGCAATGCTAAATCCATTAAATCCAACTAATGATTGGATCTATTAAACTCAGATTTAGCGATGCTCTCTAAAAAATTCTATTTTCTAAAGTTATTCTTTAACCTTTTTTTTTATGGAAATAAAAGTCCAAGAAAAGGAGAGTCAATCTAGTTCCTATATCTTAAATATTTTATTATTTAATCGTACACACTCTCCATAACAAATATCCTCATTATGTCAAACTTATTTATAAATTATCATGTCATTTGATACCTACCAAATTTATAAATTTATCCCAATCACAAGGAGCTTAAAAGAGTATCTTAACGCACCAAATCCGGTAGACGAACGGCCCCTTTTATGCGCAGTCGTAGTGCCGCATACGAAGGACGACCATGGCTAAATAGTCGGCAGGCATCAAGGCGTGCGGTTACGCACTTGGTGCTCTACCTGTTAACTCCCATTAAGCCACTATACTTAATTTACGGAGGATTTACATATATACCACTCCACTATTATGCATTTGCATTTCTAACCTCCAAAGTTCACTCTTTTGCTTTTTTTTTTTTAATTCATACCACAAGTGCTATGCGTGAAATGGTATATTTATCATTTTAAAAATTAAAATTGTTGAGTGTTTTAATGTGATATACAAGGATTTGGGTAGTATAAATGTAAAACAGCAAAATTTAAATGCTGCATATGTAAATACATAGGAATTAGGTGATGTGGATATAAATGGCCCTTTATTTATTAAAAATCCAGCACATCCATGAGATTATTTTCAACGTTCTGGTCATTTTGTAGCATATTTTAAATTAATAAGTGGGATCATGAAAATCTTACGTAAATTACGATGCATGAGATATTTATTTTTGATACAATAATGCTTTTATTTTTATCCCTTTTTTCCTTAGATTCTATTATTCTTTCTGTAAATTTTATTATTATTTTTTTTAAATTGAAAAAAAAAATTATTTTTGATCATGACGAATTTTTAAGCTGTTAGATATATATA